TCCATTGGCGCTCGAAATTACGGATGGGTATCCCGGCTAAAAGTAGGTTGGAGTATCACGCAGTCCGGAAGCGAACACAAACAGATAGGCGAGGCCCTCGGAGACGCCACAAGAACTGGGGACACAAAAAGGTACTGATACCGCTCCCCCCCTTTCTAGACCTTTCCCGGGGTGCGTTCCGACCAGGATTTTGAAGTGAATTCAGCGGTGGCGACGAAGGCCGCCCATGAGGCCCAACAAAGGGAACATCGAGGCAATCGCAAAAGCATGAACGCATGAAAAACGTCCCCCGCCCCCCACATGAAGAACTTTACACGAACGGGACCGTCCAACGACGCGCGAACAACAAGCGGAAACAGCTCGACGGTCAGCCAACGACAACGCCGCGCAAGTCAATGCGAACGGCGCGCTCGTGCTATGCTCATTTGCGTTTGATCATGGCGTTGCCAAGTGTTGGCGCGCGGGCAATACCCAAAGTCATTGTGGATGTTCGCTCGACCGTGCCAAGGCGAAAGCCAAGGGGCGCGCCGGCCCTTGGCGGCGCTGGCATGGGCCCGAGACGACGCCCAGGGCTCGCCCCGCACGGGCGCGCATCGAACAACCCAGAAAACAAAGACTAGGCACAAGGCAGCACTAGTTTTATATAAACTCTAGACTAACTCGATCTAAACTTCTCCGAAGCGAAGTCTCGCGCGGGAGAGCCCCAAACAGTTTATATAAACACAAAGTGGCGCTCATCTGAAAGCCGAGAGAGCTCTATATTGGAACAGTTGCCTCAATAGAAACGTTCCCGATCTAAATTTTTCCGTCGGGGGCGACGGAGGCGGGGGCGGGGGCCCTGGGCTGGGCCAGCGGCACTGCCGTGCGAAGGACAGCGCCGCCGTCGCCTAAACCTGCATGCCGCGGCCGCGGCACGCGCAGCCCTGGGAATGCCGGCGCGGGCGCGGCCGCGTCGACTGGGCCCACGACGTCGCCGCGCGCGCGGGCGCCCCCTGCGGCAGCTAGTACTAGCCTCGCCGACAGGGCGGCTACACTTACGCACATTCGCCATAAATCCAAAACGCTGACATGAAAAATCCAAGTACTTGTGCGGGCTGGGGTCGGTTTCTCACTGTTCAAGGTATGGGTACGTGCTTCCCTCCCCTGAAGAGCAGGCTGGAACACCACAGGGCCCGGAGGCGATCACGAACCGCCCGGCGAGGCCCCCTGGAAACGCCACGGACGCAGACCCCTTCGCCCACCGCCGATCACCCGCGGGGCGCCCGCGGAGACGCCCACGACCAGGCCACGCCGCTCGCGGAGCCCAATCCTCCCCCGCCGGCGCTTGGGAGGGCCTTCCCCGCGAGGCGCCGCCCAAAGGCCAGGGCGCCGGGCGGTGGTAACTCCTGGGAGCCTCCCACACCATCTTGTCGGCTCTTGCGAACCCCATCCCCATCCCCATCCCCAAATAACCCCCCCCCCAATTGGGGATACACTCCTCGAGACCCGAAGGGAACGGTCTATATCCCCATCCAGGGGGGTAAATTGGCCAGTGGGGCCCAAGCCACGCCGCTGGGGATGGGGATCGGTTAAGCGATACTCATCACCGACGCTAAATCGACGCCGAATCGAGGCTGAGTCGACGCCGAATCGACGCTAACAAACGCCAGGTTGGCGCCATCCCATCGACTCCCAG